TTTCGTTTATGGAGTATGGCACTCTTCTCCTTGGTGAAATTTCTAATTTTTAATAAGTTACTTTACATTCTTGTTTTTATGTTGTTTTAATAAGATAATATCGGGATATTAATAAGAGCACCTTCTACTGTTTTAGGGGATCACCATTCTAAACAATGAAGATAATATCGGGATATTAAATGATGCGAATTTTCGTGTTCGTGTTTAAGTCTCCTAAACTTGCATGCCTTTTAAAGCTCACCAGTAGTCCACCATATCTTTCAAAACCATGCCTATGTCTTTGCACGTTTCACAGTGGAGTCGATTGATGGGTTGTAATTAACTGATGTAATGTTTGTTTCAGCTCTGAAAGACTCTTCTGGTAGTCACTCTTCTCCTTGGTTTGAGGAGTATGGCCTTTCACCTACAATCGGTTCGACTCAAGTCAAACCTGTTCAACGAAGAAGTTACACTCAGGGTTGGTGAAATTTCTAATTTCTAATAAGTTACTTTACATTTTTTTATTATGTTGTTTTAATAAGATAATCTCGGGATATTAATAAGAGCACCTTGTTTAACAGTGAAATCAATAAATGGTGTTGTACTAAACAGCCCTTGACCATAGTTGCAAATTTCGTAACTCATTTTAATTTTTTCTAAAGGACCCTTTTAATAAAGGTTTATCGAAAATTATATCAAAATGTTTTATCGCGCTTTTTTTCTTCGAAAAATCGAAAAGTTCAAAATACGCCTAGATGGCTGTTACCCCCTCCCGCAAAGCATTGAAAAATTATGCAACTTCGACAGTTTCGTACACTACAACGCGATACAATCCCGCTTTTAAATTTTTTGTGCTAGCAGATGGTCCTTTCATCTCTTGGAAAATATAAGTTTATTGTTGTGTTGTTACGTTTAAGTCTGAATAGGGACCCGTTGAAATAAAGTACTTCGCGTCTTTTTCGCAGAGGTGAAATAAAGTCAATTTCAGTGGCCTATAAACAGGTCTGCCACATGTACTTACAAATAATAATATACACCACCTTAAAGCTTTTCCCTTTAATTCTAATTCCTCCAATTCTCTATCTTGGCCCGCTTTAAGCGGCGTGCCCAGGTTCAGAAGAGTTTTGGCTGATTTGCTAAAAATGCAATGCGAATCGCTGAATAGGTGTCAAGACCCATTTAAAGGCCTTTAAAAAGGTCTAGTATGATGTATTTACAAGTCAAAATAGACATCATCTTTAAGCTTTATCCTTGTAGTTTAATTCCTCAAAGTTTCTTTCTTGGCCCGTCATAGGCGGCGCGTCCAGCTTGAAAAGAGCTCAAGCTAGAATGACAGGAAAAGTGTAATATGATCCGTTGAATGGCTGCCACGCAAGAGGTCCAGTATTTGTACATTCCTGGCCAAGCTGAAAGATTTGCCTTGACCTCTTGCGTGACAAGCATGCACATGCACACGACATGCTTCAAGCCAAATTCCAGTGAAAGCTTTGATGATTTGGCCACAATTTTCAACATTTTATAGGCTTTGTTGTTCATGATTTGTGTTCTACTTCTACATGTAGCCTCTAAATCACAAGAAGACCAAGATGGCAGGATACTGAAAGTGACTTTGCTGAGCAGCGAGTGGAGATCATCAACTGATGGAGACCTGTCAACCATCAACAGAGAGCTTGCCATACAGTTAGCTAAACACCCTGATGTCGAAGTTACTGTCTTTCTTCCTCAATGTAGCGAAGAAGACAGGAGGAATGCAGCAAGTCATAATGTTCAGCTTTTGGTTGCTGAAAGGCTGCCTGGTATGAATCCAGTCGACTGTCTGATGTTTGTCCCAGATATACACCTCATGGATTTTGTAGTAGGACATGGAGTAACTCTTGGCAGACAAGCGCAGTCCATTACAAGATATCGCCACTGCATATGGATCCAAGTTGTTCATACTGCCCCAGAAGAACTTGGAATGTACAAAAGCGTTTTACAAGGTAAACAAGTGCTAAAAACAGAAGATGCTTTGTGTCGGATGGCTGATCAAGTTGTAGCAATTGGATCAAAGCTGGCAGACACTTACAAGCGTTACCTTCGTAGCAGTGGAAAAGAGCAAAATGTTTTTGATGTCACTCCAGGCATATTCTCTGAATTTTTGGATGTGGAGCAAGCCATTGAAGAAAGAAGAACTTTCAGTGTTCTAATCATTGGAAGTGGCGACAGCTGGGAAGATTTCATCTTGAAAGGTTATGATCTTGCAGCTCAAGCAATTGCCGAGTTGAAAGATAAATCCTACCAACTCAGG